GGGGGCAGGACCCCACACTTGCCCTTCAGTCACCTCAGGAGGCATTTGGGTAAAATAAACCCACCAAAACGTGTTTCAGCAAAGACCTGAGGCCAGCTCTCCAGCCAGGGTAAGCAGGATCCCTGCCCTGGGAGCAGTTTTTGGGTGGTTCAGCCATCAGAGGCACACATTTGGTGTCTCCCTTCTTCACTGGAGGCTCCTTCAGCAAGGTCTCACCACCACACCAGCAGAGACTGGTGCTGGTTCTGTACCAAAGGGGCTTTCTGCTGTTTAATACTGAGGCAGCTTTCAGTGCTCACCCATAGTAAGGCTCCCCAAAAAACCTTGGACAAAGGGAAAAGAAGCTCCTTGCTCCAAATTTCTTCACTGGAGACTCTAACCCTGAGCCCTGCCCATGTAATTGATGCTCCAGCACGGTCTGGCTGGACAGGAGTGATCCACGTGTTCCTCCCCTGCCCAAAAAACAAGAGGCAGGGACAGGAGCCCGGGGAGATAAATCACTTCTCCTCCACCAGAGAAAGTGCAGGGACTCTGCCATGGCACTGACACCTCCCAGCTCACCCTGTGTTTATGCTCAGCAGCAATAATCCCCTGCTTGTTTGAAAAGGCTGCCAGGAGACTGCAGGGAGAGGCAAACACAGCAGAGAAACTTGGATGGAGAATGAGCAGGACCCAGAGGGCACAGCCAGGGCCAGGACCTGGGGTCATCCCGTGAAGTCAGGTTCAAAGCCATCACCAGAGGTCACACTGGCTCTTCTACATCACACAAGTGGGTTTTTTTTCCCCCCAAAATCCCATCATCTGTAAATAAACTTATTTTTTCTTTGGAGAGGGGGTGGCTATTGCTCAGCCAGTGGTTTGGTTCACCAATTTGAGTCATTTTACCTCTTTTGAGGCATTTTCCCTCAATCTTGCTGCTCTCTTACCTCTACTCCAACTAACACACTCTCCCCAGAAGTCTTTGTTGGCTTCCCCCAGCCCAGCCCACGGGGGGTTTGCAGCCCAGGGCACAGCTCCTGGTGCAGCCTCTGTGTGTGACCCTCAGCTGACACTTCCCAAATCACTTTTCTTTTGTTCCTGCCCCTCTCCAGGTCTCCTGGGGTTGTTAGTGGTAGTTCTTCCTCCCCAGCATTCTGCTTTGTGCTGTTTCCACCTTCTTTTTAGCTCTGGCTCCCCCACTGATCACAGCCCTGGTGCTCTGGGCAGGGGAGCAGTTGATTTGCCACCTTTATTTTCCAAAAATACATCTCTGGGCCTTGGCAAACCCCTCTGGAGTAGCTCTGAGGAGTTTATTGCAACAGTGCTTACATTGGTGAGGACAGTTTACAACCCCCCTTTACAATCCCTTTTCATTGTAGTTGTAGTAACACCAGTGAACAAACATTGATCTGCTCCTGGTTCAGCTGAAGGAGCTGCGTATCCTACTGCACGGGGAGGAAAAGAATTATTATTGCTGGGAACTTTAGCAGCTCCTGCAACAGCAGAGACAACACCAAAGAGCAGAGTCAGCAGGAGCAGAGTGACAGCAGCATTTGCATCAGAACTGGCACGAGGCTGAAGTTATCTTCCTAGGAAAGCTGAAGAAAGGTGTTTGCAACATCCCCCTTGGTGCCAGGGAGGCAAGAGCTGTGGAGAGGAAGCTGAGGGACTGCTGGCACGCCGAGGGTGTGGCTGAAGGGGAAAAAGGAGCAAAGCAGCCTGGAATTCCTGCCCAGCTTTCCAAATCACACCAAGAGTTCCTGCCCGGAGTGTAATCAGCTACACAAACCTGGAATTTGGTGGGGTTTCACTCTCACCTGAGCTCTGTGTTGTGAGAAGAGCCACAGCCACAAGAAAATGAGTTTCTTGTTACCTGTTCACCACCACTTTCAGGAATCACAGGGATTTGAAAGGGCTGTTTACTCAGAAAAGGGGTTTTAGTTTCACCCAAGCTGCTGCACCCACCCACAGGTCTATTAGGGTGCTCCTCTGGAGAGAGGGCTGGGAGGTTGGACTTGATGGTGCTTTTACAACAAGGTGTGTTTTCCTCTTTCGTGTGGTTCAAGGGCAGGTGAAGCACAATATCACTGCACTGAAACCAAACTCCACACCCCAGCCCCCTCCTGCACCTTCATAGGGTGGGACAGAGCCTAATGGCAGCCCCCTGACAGGGCCTGGAGGCCCCTGGGAGGCTCTAAGCCCAACCTCTGCAGGGGGTTTGCTGCTCGTGCTCCTCCCCAGAGCCAAACCCTGGCTGCCAGGAGTGATGGAAGCCACAGAGAGGAGAAGGGGAACACTGAGCCTTCACCCAGTCCCTAATTGCCAAATTGAAACGTGTGCTCAGCAATCCCAAAAGGCACCAAATAAGAATTATTTCACTCTGCACCCTATTTCTGGGACGGGACTCTGTCAGGATTGTGGAAATTCAAGTTCAAACAGAGACGAGGGAGACAGGGAAAGCTTTATTAGATTCCAGCTTCAGCACGTGTCAGCTGGGTTACAGGAGAGCAGAACTGGTGGTGAGGGTGAGGTACCAGCATGCACAAGGGGCAGCAAGGGCAAGGCTGTGCCAGGGGCAGGGACCCGGCTGCGGGTCAGGGCATGCGCACCGAGAGGCAAGCGATGGGAAGGGCAGGTGGCTGGCCCCAAAAGTGTGCAGCAGTCATCTTCCATGCGTTTTGCTGAAGCTGAATGTTTTCCCAGAGAGAGAAAATAACTTGGAGGTGAGGAGCCATCCCTCTGGGAGGTAACAGTGCCACGAGTGCTCCAGCCACAGGCGCCCGCGCTTCGGATACGGCCCCGGCCAGAGCCGGGTGGGGAAGGGCACTGGGATGTGCACTGAGCCCTGGGCAGGGGCAACAGGGACTCCTGGGGGCAGCTGCTCCTGCCCGGGCAGAGGAGGGGTGAAGGAAACACCATCCCTGCAGCCCACCAGTCTCTACAGCTCGTGTCTCCCAGGGGGAACCTGCCCTGCACCATCAGCCCCAGCCCCGCTCGCTACCAGCTCTTTGTTTCCTTGTCCAGACTATGGGCTGGGAAGAGCAGCAGCTCTGAGCCCTGAGAGAAGGAGCTCTGAAAGAAAAGATGAGAAAGAACTTGGCATTTAGGCTACTTGCATGGGTAAAGTACTAGTCAAACCCATCTTACCCATTTGTTCGATTTATTTAACTTCAAAGAGGTGCACACTAAAGCGTTAAGATTGACTGGTTTGGATTCCTCTCTGTACAAGTCCTTTCAACCAGCTCAAATACACAAGGCTTTACAGACAGAAGCACTGAAATACAAGTTAAAACAAATCTAAGTTCCAAAAATCACTCCAAAGAAGGAAAAAAAAAAAAATTGTAGAAAGTAAAATAAAATTAAAAAAAAATCCCAACAACAAACGAACAAACAAACAAACAAAAACCAACCAAACAACAAACAACCCAAAAAACAGCCCCCAAAAACCTGCAGCACTCCTCAAGGAAGGGGCAGACTGCACAAGGAGGAACACAAAGGGATGGAAGGCAAGCTAGTGTGGTCTCTGCCCAACGCTTCTCTGTGCTGGAGGCTCAGGGGATGGAGTTCAAAAGATCCTTGAGGAAGCTGTCGGGATCATTGATCTCTGATAAAAGTCCTTGAAACAGAAGAAGACAACACAGAATAATTAGATCCCCCTCCAAAAGGGTTCCTCCTGCCCACATCAGGGATTTGGGGGAGGGTGTGTGTGTGTTAACAACAACAGCTGCAATGTTATTTTAAGGATGGACAAGAGGGAGATGAACCCTGGTGGGAGGGGGGTGCAGGAGGGACAGTGCTGGCTCTGGAGCACCAGAGCCCTGCAGGGATCCTGCTGGGCAGCTCTGTGTGTTGGCTGGTGAGAGACTGGCCTGGGGCACAACTAGTGTGACAGAAAGCAGAGCAGCTCCTCTGCATGCTCATTTCCAGCATCTCCTCACCCCTGGGGAGAGCAAGATCCCCACGGCAGGAACTCTGGCTGCACCCAACTCCAGCCACATCCCTTTAGCAGCCTTCAAACCACAGAGATCCAAAACACCCTCAGGCTGAGATGCTTAACAGAGCTGGAGGAGGACCTGCAGGGTCAGGTGAGAGAAATATTCCTGCCTGGGGATGCTCAAACCTGTCTCCCAATTGATTTTGAAATGGCTCAGGCCCTGGCTGGAGCTCCGAGGTCTCCTCCCCTGGCAGGGGTGGCAGGGAT